ACATTTCTGTCTTTTTGCCGTGCACCTTTCTGTTACCGTGCACAAAAAAGTCTAAAGATTTCTTAGTGCACGGAAAACAGTAAACCGTGCATAATCCTGGAAAAAACCGTGCACACAAAAATCCTCGTCCTAATAAATGGATATGATCAGTAATCGGAACAAACCACCGAGCAGTTTATTTTATGCACGTATCTACAGAAGTATAGAAGAAGAAGCTTCTACAATAAACAGAACGAAAACAAGATGAAATTCCGTAACGACTACTCTTTCCTCTTTTCATCACTTGGCAGTGAGAACAAAAAAAAGCAAATCGATATTCGAATAGCTCTCATAATTACCTACAACTTCGTCTTGAGGAATTTGTTCATAGCACATTTACATTTGGAGCATTTTTTGTTATACTGAAAACATTTGAAAATCACTTCCATTTTTTGAAATTCCGTAACAGTGAGTAATTTCAAGTTTTCTCTCTATAAATGCGAGCCAGAGACTTCAAATTTCCACCGCAGCTAGAACTTCACTAACTACACTTGTAATAAAATTTTTAACTCTGAGGCTCACCCATGTCAGAAACTAGAGGGTTCAAAATTCTAAAAAATGAAATCCCTTAACGTTTGGCTAAGCAGTGTAATAATTTGATTTTTGATCTTACCATCCATTTGACTTTATTACTTTTATGTATAGTATACATAGCAGTATGCGCGAGAAAATGTATTACATTGTATACATACATTTTCTCGCGTAAATTTGAACGAAATAACAAAAGAAATGGAAATGAAATACCGACTTTTGTGGGAACGAACCTTTTCTCATGCAGAAGAAACTCAATCGTGAAAATATTGGTTGGTTTTTTCGTAGTAGAATTTCAGTATTAGCATTACAGAAAAGACAGGCGTAAAAAACTGTAGGTATTCAGAACAAAAGTTTGTCCCTAATATCAATGTTATTACTTGAAAAAACTTGATGAACTCGCCGGTTTTCACCGGTCCGGAACTATTTTTAGACCGGCCGGCGACTGGCTGGACCGCACCAGTCTAGTATTTCCAGATTGGTTACAACTCTGCGCTGAACCAAATTGGATAAAAATTGGGCGCCAAATGCAAAATTTGTCGGTGAATCCGACAGCGGGTTCCTTATAATTACATCTTCACTTCTTTTTGACGTCGACATAATCAACGTGGTTTTGGCCTATATTTTATTTTTCTCATTGGTTAAAAAAAAAGCATTAAAAAGCAGCCAAAAAACACAGTACCTGATCTTCCACCAAAAACTGGAAGTGCCCCAGCACTCAATACGCATCCGTCCGTGCCATAGCTTAAATCATTCGCAGCAAAGTGTTCGCTGCACAGTCGTTCTGATTTACAAACACTAAGATTAGTAACATTAATACATAAAATATCACACCATTTCTGAAGGAGCGCTGGCTCAGTGGGCAAACGGAAAAAAGAAACTTTTCGGCGTCCACGACCAACATCACCAATCTTCTTTTCGCAGTTAACAACTAAACAGGCGTTAGGCATAATAGCTACACTGTGCAAACAAAACTAAATAATGTGAGAGTTAATATATTTTTTTTATAAGAATGAAATGAAACTACAGTAGTCCGTTAGTGCACAGAAAGAGAACTAGCGAGTGAGTGCAGGTGCCGTCTGTTCTCCTCTCTTTTTTCCTTTTTCTCTGTCTGTCTGTCCCCCTGTCTCTCTAGCCCTGGTGTCTGTCTAGACATATGTCTATAGTTATCTATTGATGGTCGTTACAAAGTGCTGTGAACGCTAAAATAGCGAAAAAGCTAGGATATAGGTCAAAATCCGAAAGTTAGCGTATTTTGGTGGTAAGGTTTTCGAGAAATCTCCTAGAAAACCTTGACTACGTGATACTCGAACGTCAGCAAGTATCTAGTTTTGTTCAGCGTTCATTTTTGCATCGACTGACATTTAAAAGAAAATTTTTCTGCGCATTTTCTCGATTTTGTAAAAATTTCAATAGCTGAAACCTGGGACTTTGAAACGTTTTGAGAATACATTCCCTCTTAATGATCCGCTTGAACTTTCTCAAACCCCTACGTTTGTTTAGAATTTAATTCTCTATTTAATGGCGTTTGAACGAAGTTTCTATGATTCATCGTTGAGGAGTTATCTGAAATTTTAAAAAAGTGAAAAATTTAAACTTTAAACTTTATTTCAAAATTTGAAATTTTGAGTTAGAATCTCGAATTCTTTTTTAAAATGACCGCCATTTCACGCTGATTCCAAATCTGTATTGCAAAGTGAATTTTGGTCGCTGCGTTTTTTCAGAAAGTCGTTTTTCTCAAAGCCGGTAGGCCAAAAACCACGGTTTTCTGGAAACCCGATGTCTGAAGGTCCTAGAAAGAACGTCCAAGAGACAAAAAGAAAGAGCATCGTTTCAAACCCTTAAGTTCCAAAAGAAAAGTTCGTAGCTTATAAACTGACGGAGTAATAATTTAGTGTTAGACGCCTATTGTCAAAACGCAAGAATATATTTGCCTCACAAATGACAAAATTATTACGATTAACAGATACAATTCAATTTATAAAAGTAAAAACTGCGTAATGTATCTTGCTTCTAAAATGACTAGGTATAGTTGTAGTGTGATAAAGGTATAGATATAAATACCTTTTTCTTATTAAATCAAAAATGTTGAAATAACCTAATGTAAGTCTGAATGGTCCATCCACTTTAATTTAAAATCGATCAATTTTCGAGAAAAAAAATATATTAGTCAGTGAGAAAACTCCTTTTTATTATCTGTTTTGTTTTCGCTTTTTTTATTGTTGAAAAATTATTCGTCAATTATTCGTCAATACAGTCTCATCTTTTCTCTGGAGATACTCGATATTTCTTCACGGAAACTCCAGCATTTAACTTGAGGAACTCGAGGTTTCCTCACGAGAACTGCATCTTTGCAATTGCGATACTCAATGTTTCTTCACAACAACTGCATCTTTTCTGTTGAGATGCTCCATCTTTTTTCGCGAGTACTGCCTCTTTTCTCCTGAGATACTGGCTGTTTCTTCACGCCAACTGCAACTTTTCCATTGAGATACCAGATGTTCTTTCAAAAGAACAGCATTTTCTCCCGAGATACTGGATGTTTCTTAATTAATGAGAGACATTTGAAAAACGTCGATCAGTGTTTGAATGTTCCGTTCGAACAGGTCCGACTTGGGTAGTGTCAGAGTAAAACACTGTTTGACTCAAACAGTGTCCGAATGAAACATGCTTGAGTCAAACATCCGACATTTGTCCGGTACGTCGTACATCTAGTCCAATTGGTTAGAAATTACGAATAGTTCCCATGGTTAGAAACTACGAATTTTTACCTATTCTTCCTATAGTTAGAAACAACGAATACATCCTTTTGTTCCTATAGTCAGAAGCTACGAATAGTTCCTATTCTTCCTCTAGTTAGAAATTATGAATACTTCCTGTAGTTCCCGTAGTTAGAAACTATGAATAATTTCTGTTGTTCTGATAGTTAGAAATCTACGAATAGTTACTGTCGTTCCCATAGCTAGAAATCTACGAATAGTCCCTACTGTTCTTCAAGTTAGAAATGATTCAAGAAAAAAGAAGATCTCCAAGAAAAAGAAATATCGAGCATTTCACGAGAAAAGATGCAGTTTCCGTGAAGAAGCATCCAGTATCTCGAGAGAAGATGCTGTTCTCCTGAAAGAACATCTAGATGGAGTTTCTCAACAGGAATCATGTAGTTCTCGTGAGGAAATCTAGACTTGCTCAAGTGAAAAGATGGAGTTTAGATGAAGAAAGGTCCAGTATCTCAAGAGAAAAGATGCAGTTCTCGTGAAAGAACATCGACGGACGCAAAAGCAAAGATGCTGCTCTGGTGAAGAAACATCGAGTATCTCAATAGGAAAGATGAGGCTCTATTGAGGAAACCTCGAGATCCTCAAGAGAAAAGATCGAGTTTCCGTGAAGAAACATCCAGTATCTTGGGAGAAAATGCTGTTCTTCTGAAAGAACATCCAGTATCTCAATAGAAAAGTTGCAGTTGTCGTGGAGAAACAGCCAGTATCTCAGGAGAAAAGAGGCAATACTCGCAAAGAAACATGGAGCATCTCAATAGAAACGATGCAGTTGTTGTGAAGAAACATCGAGTATCTAAATACAAAAGATGCAGTTCTCGTGAGGAAATCTCGAGTTCCTCAAGTTAAATGCTGGAGTTTCCGCGAAGAAATATCGAGTATCTCAAGAGAAAAGATGCAGTTCTCGTGAAGTAACATTGTTCATAACCTTATACAGGCCCCCTCCTTTATTCTTTTATCAAATATCAAAGTGCATTTAGTTAAAAGTGATCAAAGTTTCAACTTGATCTGAGTATTACTTATCGACATATCTAGAAAACAAAATCGAAAATCTCATCGGACATTTTGTGAGAAAACCCTCGACTCCTAACAACATAACAGAATTTTCTGTACAAGCAAAGCACTTATCAAATTACATTTTCCTACCAATTTGAAGCTCTATCGATTCTATGTATTGACAATCATATCCAGTTTTTTCTTGACGTCGATATTACGCTTTGAAAACTCACCGGACATAAATTCTAAAGTGCGCTACACAGCAAATTTCACCTTTTTTCCAACTGGAATTGTATCTCTGTCTGGAATCACATCACGTAGGATTGAAGTTGCAACCAACACTAATAAAAGACGTTAATTTGAATTTCATTTATTTGCAACAACTGAAGATCATGTAAACATTATCTTCTCGAATAGGCAAAACTTTAATAAACGTAAGAATGTAACAGCAGTTTTTGCTGTTATTACAATCTTATGTTTATGGACATCATGCGTGCTTAATTGTCGTAAAATATTTCTGTATTGATTGTTTTTCTTCTATACATAGATTTATGGTCTATGTAAATGCGAGATAACTCGCATTGTATCTTCCACTTGCTATAATGAATACAATGTATTTAGCTACTTTGTCACTAATTGTGATGGTTTCATGTGTGGATAATGATAGCGGTAAGTTATACACAGCTTTACAACTCCTTTGAATTTGAGTCTCTTCATAAATCATCTAACTCTTTAATACGGAATAGCTCAGGTCAAATCTACCTGATTGGCCCCAGTAGGACTTCCAATTATTTCTATTCAATTATATCCATCACATTTCATTGGATTCTGTGCTAGCCCTACTACCGAATGACATAAGATTCGATCATCAGAATACAGTCGAATGTGTCTGGATTTTGCGTTGCGGTTTTGTTTAAGAATGTCCATAGAGAATAGAGAAGCTTTTTGGTAAATTCTTCAATTTTTACATACCGATATATACTATCCGGTATATATTACTACGGCGACCGTAAAAGTCGTCTCAAAACAGATGCTTAAAGTTATTATATATGCAAAATTCCAAACTTTGGCATTTCATTTGGCGGAAACAAATATTTATAGAGATATAAGAATTTTAAGATAAATTTGACATAATGTAAAAGTTTATTTTTGAATGAACTAAAGCATATTGAGAAGTGATTTTGATCTCGTTGGGCTGAGCACATGAAAGGATCTTTTTCCACTATGTTTTACCCTTTTCTACGGAAGCATAATGCAATCAAAGTCAAATTAGCCATTGCAGGCAAGCACTAATACCGACCATTATTGAAGATATTGTACAATATTATTGTATACCCAATAATATGCAATAATATTGGGATATATTGACATTCTTTGACGTTTTTACGTTTCTTATCAAACTAAGTATATTTAATAGAATTGAAAAACATTTTTGTAAAATGATTTTACACAAAAAGCGAGCTTTCGATACTTCACAGTATCATCAGCTGCTTGAGCCTGATGATGATGCTGGCGGAAGTGACCCGAATTATGATGCTTTAGATAGTTCTGAGTTGTACGATCCATCTTTGTGTTGGTTGTTGGTGCATATAACAGAAATGGTATTTTAAGTAGTTCTGAGTTATATGATCCAACAACAGGAGTCTGGACAACTGCTGATAGCTTGAATTATGTCCGATTTATGCATGCAACAGCCGTATTAACAAGTGGACATGTGTTAGTTAGTGGTGGCTTCATTCGTCCTAATGCTTTTTCGAGTGCAGAACTATATTGATCGTTAGATACAGCAAAGAATTTTCTCTCGTACACTAAAAACATGAAATTTCGCTTTCATTAGCATCTTTTATTGTCAGAATGCAGGCAACATCTTTGTCGACACACAATATTTGATAATAAAACTCCATTGTTCTGAATTTTAATGATTTATCACCCCTGCTTATGGGTTAGGAGGACGTCTGAACGCTTTCCGACTTTTAGATTAAATAGAGTGCCACTCACTGTGCTCACTATATACCGTAGTATATTAAAAAATAATAATTTTCTAACGATTATTTTCGCATGTTAATTCGACAGTGCTAGTTCGAAGCATCGAAGAGTATGTTTTTGTTTCTAAGAAAAACCTACAAGTCTATGTTTCTAGTGACTACCACAACACAGGATATTTTTTGACGATTTTTCACCCAAAGAAGTATGATGTATGCTACCATAATAGAAGATCATAGTAGTTTGCCATTTGATTCATCGTACTAATTCTCTCGATTCTTAAAAGTAACGAAAATTTCGCAATTCTCATCTTTATAATCGTTGGAACTCGAAAATGTTTTTCATCCACTACAATTTGTTCAGTATTTTCATTATTTCAACATTCAAGTACATCATCATCGAATAATGAAACAACATCAAAAGTAGATTTGTCAATAGTTTCTGCTTCATCAACTACTCAACGTGATAAAGCAATTTCGTCTGAAGAAAAAGCCGAATTATTATTACTTCGTAACCGAGTGTCATTCAGCGATTCGACAGGTAGGTTGGGTACGCCCACAGAATGTTTGTAAAAGTATATTTTGATTTTATGTTGTGTTTTATCAGGTACATTTTTGGTTGAATCCCTCGGAGAACTTTCTGCAGTATATGTGGTTGATTTAAAAAAATTTCCACGATTTTCTTGTTCTTGTCCTAATCACAACAAACAGATTATTGTTACCATATTATTGCTGTTCAAAAGAAATTAAAAATTAAAGTGGATGCGACAAAACCAAAAGCGCCACCAAATTACGGGAAAGCCAGAACAAGTTATCGTCGAGCTGCTGGTATCAGTAAACTAGGGAAAAAACAGCCAACCGCATTAGATAGAGAAAAGGTTAGTAAAATAATGAGTGTTGAAGTAAATAAACTTGAATCTAACTTGTCTTTTTGTTGTTCTTAGGATTCAGAAGAACTTAGCTCGATAAAAACGAATAATGAAAAACGAAAAGTAACATTTTCGGATAAACCGACTAAGAGACTGAATATAGTAAGCTTAAATGACTAATTAAATGAACCTTAAATTTTCTTATGCTTATGTATTGCAGACTTGTCTTTTGGATTTGTTCACTGGCTAAAACTTCAATGAGAATTAACATGTAACTTGAAATTAGACTGAAAATGGTTCAAACGGTGTGTATCATGTTTCTAAGACAGGTTTCACTCGATCGGCTTTCTACTCTGCCCATTGAGCAGTTGCTTCTCTAGTCTTTCTCTCTGTTCGCTGAATAAAACTCCTACTAATGTCTATATACTCGATTAGGTGTATGTATTCTGTTTTCTATCTGGCACATATAGAGAGCAAAAATCCCGATCCTGTTCACCGGCTAAAATTCCAATATTTTCTCTAATCCCTATATCGACCCCGTCTCGTACGCGTAATCTCTAACCCGATCCCGAAAATCTTTTTCCTTCAGTCCCGATCCCGCGGGTCAGGATGCTTCCACAAGGCTCTAGTCAGGGTCCAAAAAAATGGTCCGATGGACGCCTCAGTCTTCCACTCCAAAAAAAAGCTGACAGTAACTGCGACTTCGTGAGGCTGCGTCTTTCATGTCCAACAAACACTGTTTCGTGCGCTGAATGAGACGTTGAAATAAAAAGCATAGCTTTTCGCTGCTCCGAAAACCAGATTTCGCATGAAGAGGCTAAAGGCTTACCAAGAAACGTGGAGAATGTCAAAAGATCCTTTGGCGTTCATTTTTTTTTGTATAAAATAATCGCTGAATGAGCGTTAAAATCGGGGTCAAAACTTTAAAGACTCCTGTACGACTCCGACTGAGAAAAAAGCTTTTCTGGGCTGAAAAGCAGTAATATCAATGAAATTTATTTCATAGTCTTCAATACAAAAGCCGTATCAGCTTCAGGCCTTCCTGGAAAGCAAACACCTCTTCAATAAATTTTCTGCGAGAACTGAACGCGACCAAAGAGTGGGACGAGAGGTAATAGTACATCAATTCGTATTTGGCAAATTCGTAAGAATAACGGCGAATTAATATCAATGATCAAGTGTACACGATTGACCTGTTGTGTACGTTTCGCGGATACCTTTGTCACTTCCGCTCTACAAAATTATTCATATACAATACAAGCATTCTATCGATATGTGCGCGTCAGACACCATCAAAACAGATTTCTTCTTTCGTATAAAACACAAATTGCATTTATTATCATCAAATGAATGTATTCAATCTTCTACTCGTTACCTCTTCTACTCACTAATCAAGGCAATCAGATATGTCAGATATCCGTGTCGAATCGTTGGATGATATACATTTGTCTATTTCTCTACATGTTTCCAGTGTCAACAGCGGCCTTTCTGTATCTCAAACTCATATTATACGTCCATGACATGAGTAACCAAATAACTGTCTCAACTATTCGACTTGCTCGAGCCGTGCGCAACACGCAAATGTTAAAACGTCTTGTAACAGTCGTGGGAGTCTTGGTTACATGTGGCTTACCATATAGTATCTTCATATTCATTGGATTTGTCACGGATCCACCAAAATATTATTTGAGAATATCGTACGTTTTTATCGACATATCAATAGCTCTAGTCTCGATCGCAACATTTGCATTCACAAGTAAAGTGAAATTTATTAGATTTGGATATCTCGGAATACAGTCAAACAAAAGACAATTTGTTCTGATACAGTCCTAAAACAGGCCAACGAATGCACAGCGTTTTCTATCAAAGGACGTTTTTTTGTCTAATCCCGTCTACTGTAGACCCTTTTCTTAAATAAGGGTTCATCGTAGGACAAAATTTTTTTAATGGAAAGAGCATAAAATTCTGCGAGGACTGATGGAAGCAGATGTTTTAATTAGGCCTTAGTTCCTCTGGAAAAAAGGAACTCTGGAAAACTTGAAAGGATCTCTCAGAGTTTTCTATGATCTTGCGCCTCTAGAGAACCAACAAAGGCCTAATTAAAAAATCTGGTTCCATTAGTCCTCCCAGTTAGGTATCTGGTTTAAAATAAAAACAACTTCAGATCTCTATCTTGAGCTGCATTAAGGACAAGGGATTTACAGCGAAGGGTGGTTTACGGTCTTGGACTTCAGAAAACTCCGAAACGGTAACAAACAGAGAGTAAAAAGAATATTGTGATCACATCTTTGGGTGTGCAACATTCGCTGAAAGTTTGATCAAAATCAGATATAAGACAAAAACGTTTTTTAATATATTTCAAGTTGGAGAGTTCGGATTTCTTTTATTTTAAACCAGATACCTAACTACATGGGATGACCGGCGTCGATTTTTCAGTTAGGTATTATTTTTTGTCAAATCGAGGATTTTAAGAAAACTCGGAAGGATTTTTCAGGCTTTGAAAGTTGTTGGTTGCCTGGACAATCAATAAAGGTTTAATTGAAAAATCGGCTCCGATCAGCCCATGTAGTTAGGTGTCTATTCTAAAATAAAACAAACCTGAACTCTCCAGCCTGAAATATATTAAAAGATCTTGGGAAAAAACCTCAGGATCCTTTTTGGACCTTGATCTTTGGAAAACTCCTAAACCATAAGACTTTGAGACAAAAAAAGTTTTCTTTTCCGTTACTCATTAAACCTAGGATTTACGGAAAGTTTGGTCAAAATCTGAAGTACGGTGTCGGAGATAATTTCTGAGACGGGGAGGGGCCATCAAGCAGTCGCACGTAGTGAATGAAATCATATTAAGGCGCCGGAAATTCAAAACTTAAGCAAAATTTATTTTTGTGGTATTTATACATGGTTGGATAGAGCGTCAAGCTGAACAAGAATATGTGTCAAAACCTGTCCAATCAAAATTTTAATGTCGATAATTTTAAAATTTTAAAAAACGACTTTATTTCTATAATATGACCTAAGCAATTTTAGTTTTTCATCAATAGCCAAAATCCCGTTCATGTTGGCTCAAAAAGCGTCAAGTCTCTCTGGAGATGAAGCCAATATTTTTATATCATTCTACTCGCCATATAGCACTAAAAAAGTTACACATCGGTTTTAGAAAATATTGTTCCGTTGTTGAAAAAATAAATATTTTTGAAACAGGTAGCACAAAACAAGGAGATTCACTTGTATTTTGCAGTTTTCACCGCCAAACATCCATTTTCTGCAAAAACCAATGTCATATTTGGGATCAGCATCAGAAACTGAATTGACTGACGTGTGTTTCAGGATTTTTGGACGATTTCTAAATTGATTGATTGCAAATATGACATTGGTTTTTGCAGAAAAAGCTTGTTAGCATTGTTTCTAGAAGCAAAAATGTGAAAAATTCTACTGAGCTGTTGGACTATAACATAGGAGATGTATAAATAGAACGGGTTTGGACGTAGCTTATATAATATTTTGATCAACTATCTCAGTTGAGAAACCAATATTTCTGTGAAAATATTGATTTCTGAACTGAGATACAATTTTGACACGTGGATTGAAACGTGCTATTGTGCAAGAGTGCAGTAAGGCCGCAGTAAGAGAGTACAGTAAGAGCAGTAAGAAAGTGCAGTAAGACCTATTATTCTATAGTAAATGAAATGAAGTTAGGTAAGTTATATAACGTATCTCTATTGACTATCTGAGGAATTATCGTCACTTTACATGGTCAAATGTTGTGTATTACTATTACGGGGGGTTGTTTATTTTCATGTCTATAGATACTATTTAACATGTTATTTTATCGTTTTTTAAAACAACTGAACAACAACAAGCATTAACTGTACAAACCCATCTTTCACCTACATATTTATTCGTATGTTGGTGACGATAAAGGTTTTCTTGAAACAATATGGAAGAAGCGTCTCTATGAGTTTCTTTTCCAATAAAATCCATTTCTTTTTGAAATATGTATTATCACTGTTTCACACTTATATAATGATAGAATAACTGACCTTCGTACACTGCACTCTTGCACAATAGCACGTTTCAATGCACATGTCAAAATTATATCTCAGTTCAGAAGCGAATACTTTCAGAGAAATATCGGTTTCTCAACTGAGATACTTGATTAAAATATGGATTGTATCTCAGTTGAGACGTTACGCTAGAACGAAGTTAAATAAGTATAGTAACGTGCGAGAGAAACTGCTAATTAATAGCTTCTATTTTCGGTTCATATGAAGAGATATGGTAATAATTTTTAAAACTTGTGTTCAGCAACCTCAGATCAATGTTTAGTCTAACGTTTCTATTTCAAGTTTAAACATGTCATACGATTTTACTTTTGTTAGTGTTTTGATAATTATTAGCTAATTTCATAATTAGAAGTTGGATGATTAGACCTATCAATGTGAAAATCAAAGTCTTGTTGCCGTTAATAACGGGTGACAAATTCAAGATGTATAATGTATCTCACGTGCTTCTCACCACTCTAATTAACAATCATTTTTTAGCTAAAAGAAAAACGTATTATTTCTAGAGCAAATAAAACACAAAAGATACCTGTCATAACAACTTAAGAAAATCGTTTTGATATCTCATTTGACTTTACCCTGAAACAGTTATTTCTACAGTATCGTACAGACAAAAAAATCTATCAACCGAGAGAACATGAAAAAGCAAATAGACTAATTTCTCCAGTAGTACATCTTCTCATTTTCAACAAAAAAAACCAAGAGCGATACTTTGTATGTTATCAGACTTCCTCTATTTAACGAGCTAGTTTTGTATGCTGAACAAACTCATTTTCCGTAGATAATACGAAGTTTTTGTAGAGCTCTTCAAAAATTCTTCTGAAAATTAAAAATAATTATTAAATTTTTTGAATATAAATGCTCCTTTTACTATAAGGTGCCGCTAATTCAAATTTTAAACGCTATTTTATTTCTGACTCATTTATTCATGGTTGGATAGATCAAGTCGAGCTGATTAAGAAAATGTAAGTTTTAACTTTCCGAGTTCAAATTTTAAGTGAAAAGATTGTAGAATACTGAAAGAACCTAAACATTCCGAAAAACAGTTCGGCCACGAAAACTCACAGACTTTTTAAAACAAAAAGCCCAGTTTCTAGGAGCTTTGTAGCATTTCTCCTA